GAATACGCAATTCTGACTGAAGGAAGAAAAACAGAAGCTATTAACCATAAACCGTTGCCACATTTCCTGTTGTAACAGGACAGGATGGAACAAGTTGTTAACAAAACAACAGCTCGGTGACTCTGCCTGCGCCCAAACCCTGGCAGCCACCGCTGGACCTGCGGCTCTCCTGGCTGCAAACTGGGAAGGTGGGACATCACCCACCCTCGGGGATGGCCCGGCCGTGCAGCAGCACCCCACGACGTCTGTGAGCCAGCCTGCAAAACCACTTCCCAATCGCCTCCATCGTGCCACCCCCGCCCCGTGCAACTGGAAGGAAAGTGATGGCCAGACCGGAGCTGCCAGGATGCTTCTGCTGCCGTAAAAAAACCCGCTGCAGAACGCCGCATGGCCACGGCTGCCGGAGCTTAACCCGCTGGCATCGCTTAAATTCAGCAGGCCAGGGGTTTACCAGCCCCTGTGAAACTGCTGTAAAAAATAACCTGCAGACAGCTGTAGCCTGCAGTGAGACACAGGCACCCGCGGGCTGCATGGGACCAAGCGTGGCCACGCAGCCACGGTGGCCTGGGGCACAGCGAGCGAACGTGCCCGTGTCCTCCCCTGCCTGTCACAGCCTGCTGCAAACGGGCTCCCGTTCCATAACCTGCATTATTTCGCAATTCTAAGAAACATCCATTGTAAGAAAGGACTCGAGGCTCATCTGGCACTTGGGCTAATGCTCGGCAGGATAAAGGCTGCCCAGAACATGCATCCCGGGAAGAGGGAGGCGGCTGCGACTCACAACAACGTCCATCGCCCGGGGCCTGGGCAGCTGCGGTCCCTGTTAGCCACACTGGCCGCCTCTGCAATCAGCCACTCACCTAATGAGCCGTGAGCGAGCGACAGGCTATTACAGGGGAGGTAAAAAAAACCCCATGGGCCATCATGATTCTGGTGACATTCTCTCAAAAGAGCGATTCTAAGCCAAGAAAGGCAACAACAAAGCCTCTGTGACGAGTTTTTCTATTTACTGGATTGCAAGGATGCCAGGAGCCACACTCCACGTCCAGCTGAAGAGCATCCTTCCTACAGCCTCTCGCCTTGCAGAAGTCAACCTCCAACTTAAAAACCTTTTTGAAGCCAGCAAAGGCAGCCGCCCTGCACCACGCCAGACCTCTCTGCTGGGAACAACGGCTCTAGGTGGGACCGGGAGCTTTCTGGCACTGCTGCAGCAGCGCAGAGGGGACGGTGCCCTCTCCCCACGGCTCCCCAGTTGGCACCAAGGAGCTGGCCCGTGGGCACAGCTTGGATGCACCACCAGCAGCTCATTAACCGTGGCTTTGCTAGTCATAAAACCAGACCATGGAAAAGCTCTGTAGGTAGAAAGGCTGAGCATGCACTTCCACAGGATGCTCCTTGGAGCAAGGGCTGCTTCCTCAGCCCCAAACCAGCCTCAGAGACACTATCCCTGCCCCCTCACTCCCAGCCAATTTTCCTCACCAGCTATTTAGTTAATGAATTTGAACAGCAGAACGGTGGAGATGGATTTGGCCCAACATCACCGCATTCTTGGCAACGACTGTCTTATCTAGAGGCAGGAGTGGCCAAGTCCTCCCTTGGTGTGCTTGGGCACAGGTCCATCGCCACTTACATCAGCAATGCTGTGACAATTTGCATTCCCCAAAACCAGCCCAAGCTCTGCCTTTGGCTCCTACTTTCAGATTGCAAGAGCGTTTTGAAGACCTCATCCGAAGGGATTTTATGCCTCAGGGAATCAGTCCTCAATTCTTCTGCTTATTAAGGAAAGATTTGTCTTAAAACATCAGAAAACAAGGCCTGGAGAAGCATGTCTGAGTGCTGCTGGCTGGGGAGCTGTAGTTCAGAGGAGCATCACCAGCTCGTGCCCCGTGACCCCTGCCACACCGCAGCGCAGAGGACTGAAGAGAAATGTGAAGGCTTCAAATCTGAGCCAAAAACACGAGAACCAGTAGCTCAGAACTGTAAATTCAGCTGCAGCAGGGAGCAGAGGCGGCTGGGGGGCAGCGGGGCCAGGGCAGCACGGCACAGCCCGATCACGGTCACCGGAGAGCCGGGACATCTCTGCTCGGAGCCCCGGAGCCACTGGCAGGTGGTTCCACAGCAACACCCCTCGTGCATCCCACTGCTGACACCTCCACCACGTCACAGCTTCCCTCCTCTTCGGCACAGATGGCTGTTTCCTGCTGGGTTACCCCAACTCTCCTTGCTCAGGGATCCCCAACCCAGGACCTGGTCCCATCACCCCCATCCCTGGAGGTTCCATCACCCCCATCCCTAGATCCCACCCTGGGTGAAACTACCTTGTGTTTTCTGTTCTTGGACAGAAACTTGCCCCTTTCTCCTCTAAGCCAGCTCCCCCGGCAGTCACTGATGCAGGGCTTGAAGAGCAATTTTGCAGAGTTTTAAGCAATCATGCTTTAGGCAGAAGCCACTGAAGCCGTTCTGCTGAAGAGTCACGAAAACACCAAGGAACAGATCTCTGGGGATGAAGTCAGATCTGAGATCTAAATCAGTTCTTTGCTAACGCAGAGTGATTGTGCTGATGGTTCCGAAAATAAAAAGGAATTACAAAATTCCTAGAAAGAGACTCTTCAGACTAATACAGTTATTTCAATCAGAAAAATCATTTCTCTAATCACAGTGATCAAATTCCACTCTCTTATTTGTACGTGGCAGGAGGCCTGTATGTCCCCTCCCTACTCCACATACAAATTTCCTCTACAGAGATTTTTTTTCCTGAGTTTTTTAAGACACACATCCCTAAGTTATCCGTATTTAGCTTATTCCTGCCCAGCACAGGGCATGCCCCGGGCTGCTGGCTGCAGCACTGACCACGCTGTGCATCCCGGGCTCGGGAATCATTCCTGGGCATCTAAGGATGGATAGATGTTGCCGATCCCAAACACACCCAGCAGATCAACTCAGGTTTGGGTCCAAGCTGGTGTTTTGTGCCCGTGGCCAGGAGCAGGTACCATGCTTGGTGGGGAAAAGCCATGCTGCCGCCACACACAGTTCTTGCGGCGGTGGAAACGTTCCGCATTCAGTAACATCTCTCAAGAGCAGTCAGATGCTGAGTAAAAATGGGGGGACACAGACTGAAGCAAAACGCAGGGGAGGTGTCCACCTTGGGGCTGTGCCTGTCCCCTGTCCCTCTGCTTTGGTGGCTGTCCCCTGGACACACGCCCTCCTCACTGCCCTCCTCTCACTGTTCAGCCCAGCCTCACCAGACCACCTCCTCTTCCTCCTCCTCCTCACCGAGCTCCAGGGCCAGCTCCATCCAGAGTGGAAGTCCAGCCTCATGCTCCTGCAGGACCTGCACCCCCACCAAGCCCCCAGCATGTCATAAACCCCCCAAAACCTTCCTTCACAAGGCCTGAAGATGGTTTCCACCTCCAGCTGGAGAAATGTGAGGACCCACCTCCGCACAGACCCATTATGCAACATCCTTTGCTTGAGCAGCAAATTTTGTGTGTGTTGGGTTTGGTTTTTTTTTTTTTTTCTCTCAGGCACAGGAACCATTTCATCCCCATAACACCAAACCCCCAAAAGGCTCCATCTTCTCCAGCAGCCACGAGGTCTGTTACCCACACCAGCCACATCCAGGTGAGGAGCTGGGCGAGCCGGGGCTGCAGCAGCCCCCGACCCCTCTGCGAGGGAAAGCTCCCAAGCACGAACGTGATCAGGCTCATTTGGAAAGGCAGCTGAGGATCTGCAGTGCCCTGGCTCAAAAAGAACAGCGTTAAACCGGCGCGGGGTGCAGCGCCTATTGCACTAACACCGCGCTCTTTTACATCTCCTACACAGATGAATCATCAAATGACATTTAAAAACCAGCAGTACGTGTCGGTTAATCATAGCGAGAGGGAGCCGCTGGCTAACAGGGAATATCCCATGTTAAACCCCAAGGGAGCATTTCTTCAAAGAAATTAAAATAAAATTGCCAGGTGAATGAAACTCCCCTCCCCTCCAAAAAGCAACATCCCCCCCCCCTCAAAGAAAACAGCCCAGGTCACCGGGAGAGCCCTCCTGACCCCACGCTGCGGGAAGCTGAACCCCAAAGCACCTGCTGAGGGTTGCAGCTTGGCAGCAAATCGAGCAGAGCCCCAAGAGGAGCCCGTTGGTGCTGATGGTTTACCGGGGGATTTCTAAGTGAAAAAGCTGCTCCCCGGGTCAGATCTCATCTCTCGGTGCCGCGGGGCTCTTGTTCCTGAGCAAAACCCCCACTTCCGCAGCAGCGCCTTCTCGCCTTCTCCTTTTATGCTCAGCTCTGGTTGGGGCCCCAAAGTTTATGATGGGGATGTTCTCGGTTGGTTTTTTGTTTTTTTTTTTTTAATAAACACTTAAATATGAAGCAGCCTTGCCAGTGCTAATGATACAGAAATCTCATCCTAGGGTGAAACACTGCCCAGCCAAGCACTCTCCCCTTCTCCAAGACAGGTACACAGGCACCCAAGTGCCCAGAAAAGGATCAGATTCATCATTGTGGTAATAAGTTCACAGATTAATTTAGTCCTGCAACTTTCCCACCTCCTTATCCACCCCACAGGTGCAATTTTCAGCAGTGGTGCCTATTCTGCGAGGCCAAACCACAGGTCCCCCCCGACCAGCAGCCTGACCCATGGCCAGCAGGGTTGTTGCCTGTCCCCCTAAAGCTGAAAAAAACCCCCCACCTTTGGAGTTCGGCTCCTCCACTACGGATCCCTCAGGAAGGGGCCAAGCCGGCACGCAAAAGGCTGAGGCATCTCGCAGAAAAATCTGCAGCAGTGCAGACCCCCTGCACGGGAGCGGGGAGCCTGCAAGGAGCAGCTCTGCCCTGACTCCAGCTGAAAGCTGATTTTGGCAGCACCTGCAGCCAAACGTGCAGGAACACCAACACACCCCCCCCT